CTATCACGTAACCCATTCGTGGGGAATAGAATTTTCTATTAAAAATTAAAAAATTAATCTCTTATGCATTATTAACCGATCATTGAACAACGAATCTTCATATAGAATCATATTTGCTCGTCTATAGAAAGACAGACATTCAACAGAGAGTTGCACACATATTTTTGCTATAATACATATTTACATATCTAAACAATTTTTATTTCTTTGCAAAATTACCTAGTCTTCTGAGAATCTTTACAAGATTTTGATTTGATCAGCCAATATTAAAGAATTAAGGCTTTTAATACTATTTCCATAAAATATAGTTTTGTAATTTTCATGTAAAAATATTTGTCACGTTTTATTACCCATTCATTCTAAAATTAAACTGTCGAACAAAACACTGTTTTAAACATTGTATGCATGACTAAGTGCTTAAAAATTATAGATAAGTTTTTCAGTCACACACAGAGACTAGCATTTGTTACTTTCACTGTACATAATGTTTTATACAAACTAACAAACAAATTAATTATACAGGGTTACAAGATAGTCAGTCATCCGCCAGTCACTCCCGCCATCGGCACGCTTTCCGATCGCTCAATTTATCGTCCGCGGTCAAGCCTGCCGCGTGTCTCGTGATAAAATCGCGATACATTAAGACACGAGGGGGATTGTCAGCCGATGGATACCAAGTCCGCTTTTTATCATTCGTTCCGGGCACTTTTTAGGCCACTGCAGCAGGAGTGTACGAGGGATTTCCATGGAAATCGATGACTCCGGCGAACACATAGTTCCGAAGGAGAGAGAGAAACTGCGAATAGATGTCCGTAACTTATCCAGATAAGGGGTTGTAAAACGATGTCGTAGCTATCTGCCAATACGGTTTGCTCCCTCTTCGTGGAGGGAGTGAAAGACCTTGCATCCAGGTTGCGGCCAGATATAGGGAGCAATTCCACAGAAATTGATGCCATTTGAATATCGCCAACCGTACGACACGTCCCCGAGATAGTGCCGTATGTATAAGCATTCGCACTGTTTCCTCAGATCTGTATCTGCTTCTTTAGTTTTTTTCCCGTTTGGTGCCATCGGGAATATTACAGCGTCGAGGACTCGCGTATTTGGGGAGAAATGTGGAAGATGCTTCGGGTTATGGTTTCTAGATTACGTGATGATATTTAAATAATTGATTTTTAAGACATAATCGTTCCTTTTCTGTTAATAGGATATTGACGTTGCTACACGTTATTTATAATGGAAATAAGCGATGTTGTTTATCAGTCTTAGATTTATCATGCCAAACAGAAACACGTATTTTCGATACAACGTACCTAACTTAAATCATTTCTCAACAATGAAAATAAATGAAAATAACATTTTAAATTCTAAATAAAGTCGTTTCATTAGTTCCTAAATAACGCGCATTGAGTTTCTGTAGATATCTGTACACTTATTGTTTGAATTTTACGAATATACAGTAAATATGACAGAAAACTATTAGATTATCAGGTGTTAAAGGTCGTATAGGAATTTTCCTTTTCGAATGTGAATATTGAAACAGTTCTTGGCAGGTTACTTTCAACGACGGAATTTTTACACCAAGCCAGCACAATTTCCCCAAAAAAATATATACGCTCCCTTGACTCACCGCCGGAAACACAGGGAGGGAAGTCCTTTAACGAGACAAGCGGCGATTTGTCTCTTTGTGGCTCGAGAAGTTCGGCTACTTTCGTTCGACGCGTCCTGGAGAGATTGGCTGTTCCGCGGACGTAAAGAAGAAAGCCACCCCCTTCAGCCGGCTCCGGCAAACACTTTCCTGCCACCCTCACCCCTCATGACCCGAAACCGCGGCCGGTTATAAAGCATTCTTCCAGTTTATTAGACGGAGACTCACGGGCTTCTTTTTATATTAAGCATGTGCATTATTAATGCGCGGGCATAACCGTAAAATGCTGATGAAAAAAAGTTGCAGAGCCCTGCGGGCGTTTCTTCCTTAGCAAAGCAGAGACTCCTGCGAGATTGCTGCTTGACCGACTATTCCTTCGACAGTTCGCTTGGATGTTTTGGGGATGAATGAGATACGGGAGATCAAGACGCTGGTGTAGACAATTTGGAAAATTTAGCAATCAGATTCGAAGGAATTTCAATTTTAAGTTCACTGAAAGGAATGGTCGCTATTCTACGATTTGAATCCTGAGAGGAATTAAAATAACTCGATTTACGAGTGAAGAGGGAGAATGCTATATGAAATACATAAATTTCACACAATACATATTCGTGTGTATTGTACGTAAATATTTATCATGATGGTCTAATACCTTGAAATAAGTTTAATTCCCTGTTAATACCACAAAAATTAATCTGATGCTATCAATTTTTATAGATATATATCTGAATACTACAAAAATGAAATGTTCGTATTCGCAAAATAACATTCCCCTTCGACGAACACAATTCAATGAATATTTATATCCCATATATTCAATCCTTCGTCACATGTCTGACCTAATATCTCAAAGCAAAGAGTTAAACAATCGAAAGGAATTACTTTTGAAACAAGAAACATGTTAAGGGATTTCTGACAGATTAACAGATTCATCGGTGATGAATTTTTCCATATTATCCCCGATATTTCACGGGGAACAATAAGCCAGATGGTACCTACCGGCCAGAGTCTCCAGGTTCACCCTTCTCATCGAGCACGTATTGAATATTTCATCCGAAAGATCTGTATTTTTCTTCGGGTGATTGTCATTCGTAGAGGTCCAGGAGCGACGGGGTGTGCCGTCGGGCTGGAGGAAAATCAATTATTCATCTGAATTGGTCGGGAAAAAGTCCTAATTATCCAGGGCAAATACAAGCTTAATACGCGGAGAGAAGCGTACCAACGTCCCATCCCCTCCCCCTACCCGTTTCACCCTCCCGCCCCTCCCACCCTTTCCATAGAGCCCTCCATCGGCTGGTACTCAGGTTCGCAGTCGGTCTTCGAGCTTCCTTCTTACCGTGAATAACCATTTGTATTTCCAATTAGCTTTGCTAATAAGAAGACGGAGGCATTGCCGTAGTTAAAAAAAATGTATAACCTCATCCAGCCACTGGGGAAATAAAGAAAAGCGCCGCTCCGGTATGACAATACCGGCGGGTCGAGCGGGGTTATGCCGGCTGAACTACAATTAAAAATCCTCGCTTCACCCTCGCTTAACCCTGCTTTCTCCTTATGCCGTATTAACGACCGGGGCGTGCGGGAAGGAGGACGCGAAACATCCTACCAAACATCGAGCCTTTTTTTGCCAATTTTATGCTTGACCCCATCTCCGGTCCCATCCTTGTCCTACTACAACCCCCTGTGCCCGTCGTCTGTCCTTCCTGTTTTTCATTCATTTTGTCCCTCGACAGCTCGTTTCTTTATTTCGACGATGGCAGCTTTGCGATCGGTTATCTTGCTTAGGAGATTTTATTGTTTGAGGAAGATTGTAAGAACAGATGTGTCGACGTATTCATCCCTTGCTTTGTGCTACGAAATTTTTAAGGGGACATCGATGTACAGTGGGTAATACGAATGTCAATTGTGTTTTTGTTAAAAATGTATAAACTATGAAATAAATGTGTATTTACGATAAGTACAGGATTTGTTTCCTTGTCGAAAATTCTTAGGAGGGGAACATAGTTTGTATGAGTACGAGTTCAGATAGAATTGTAAGAGAAGAAGTACACTCTTAATTGATTGATTGATCAAATGTTTTCTATAATTAAGAATTAATCGTTAGGAAAATATAAAAAGTGTGCATTAAATGCGTGTCAGTAGTTATTGCAATAATCAACTCATGTGTCTGTTTGTAATAGTATTCATTCTTTCTACTTGTCATAAACAGTCCTAGTGGTATCAGTATATTCTATCAGTATCCTATATTCCATAGAAAAGAAACAATAATGTAGCAACTTCGCTGTATATAAACATGGTGTATGCTTGATAAATTTTCTAACGCAATATTCTATACATACGTATGAAAATTTTTGAAATAATACGAAATATCATTCACAAACCCTTGAAAATTTTGAAAATCTTCAGATTTCAAGAATTATATAAAATTGATTAATACGATATAAGGTATACGAAACTTTAGTTCACAGCTTAGTAAACAAGAGTACTAATATACTTTAATATAATGAATATATTTAATTACAAAATATAATTGCATTTTAATTAAACCTAGGATAACTTTCAAGCGATAATGTTTTAAAGTTTTCAAGATATACAAAAGTTTCACAATTAAACTATCCATTTATAACGATGGTAATAGATGTACAATTAAATATATAATATTTTAAGCAATAACTTTAAACAAATAATTTCTTGTCAAGAAGTTTCAATATTGCTTTACTTTTTCGATACGATATACTGAACCTCCTTTTGAGAGGTTAAAAAGAAATATGTAATAATAAGAATAATAATTATCAGCTCTTGCTGTAGATACAGTTATTAAAATTATAAGAGGGTATGTAAAGGGATCATGAATATAATATATATAATACGAATATATGTAAACCATTCTATACAACAATAAGATAATAAATATGCTAGGGTTAGTAAATTTTAAATAGTGCTGTTATTAACACTAGTTTTACGGGCATTTATTGTACAGTCTATTCTATTGTTCCTATATTGCACCGTAGTTGATATTCATCCATTTAGATTTTGAAAATTATAGATTTAAAAATGGCCAATTAAGATACATATTCGTGTATGTAATTGGATCATTCAAAAACATCTGAAACATTTACCAAATAATATTAATATATAAATATATTATGTTATAAAATTCAATATACGTCAAATTGACACGTCCCGTAAACCTAGCGTTAAATGTAACCTTAAGAGATCTATGTATGCACTTGGGCATTGGCACATACTCTTGCCCAAGAATTCGGATTTATAACCTGATGGCAAGAGACGAATTTCAAGAGGTTCATGCCTCTCGAGTTGTCTATGTCTCGACGCGACACATCGGATTCCACTATAGTCGCTGCCCCGTGTTTGCAAACTTGGATTTTCGTGTGGCGACTCCGCCAGGCGCCCTTTGTTGTGCCGACCGTCAAACTCGGCCTGAGGTCGACTAAACAGTGTTTCTTCTCAGTTACGGTTGACGCGCTGTGAAATGTGTGTCGTGTGTTCAGACAACGTTGATAACGTCGGCTACCAAAATTCATGGTGTAAGACGGATAATTGAAATTCACGCCCGAGGGCAACGAAAATTTTGATCGCATTCCGAGTGGACAGCACGTGCACCGTAGTAAATACAATTTCCTGTCTCTTCAAATTGCTCGAGTTATTGTACATTCGCATTGCGTGCCCAAGGTATTGAAAATATAATAAGATATTAGACGAATTTTCGTTTTCGTTAAGTGAATGATTAGGATTTTATTATGAATAATTCTTTGTCGTTTTTACTTTAATCTAACATGTAATTATTGCATGCAAAATACTTTCATTGACCTGTATAAACTTTGAAAAGCTGTGTTCAGAATATATCCCATTCATTATTATTACTATTATTTATTGTTATCCCACGTATTTAATAGTTTTTCATTATTTTCATTTATCTAAATTGCACATTAGATATCGCTTTAATGCACAACATATTGCACATTACGTAACTTTCGGTCAACAACCATTTAGTGTTTAATCTAGATCGTCTGTCAGACTTACACAAAATTATTTAAAATATAAGTTTTTCATATATTTACTAATTTGTGTTGATTTAAAAAAATGTTATTTAGAATAACTTCTTCAACTCGCCGAATGTTGTAATATATATGAAAATGAGGGTGAAGACAATGCCACGACAGCGAATATATCACGGGAACAATAATTTCGAATCCGTATCTGAAATTATCATTAGAAAATCAGATAAATCTTCGAATAACGACGTGAAACCGCGATTGAGGGGTGCTGAAAAGATGTTCGATGCATCGAGCAAAGAGGAGAATAATAATTCTAAAGAGAAACGATCGGATCATTCCGATGTAAACGAAGAGAAGAAGAAGGAAACGTTGAATTGTACCGCGGAAGCATTGGACATGACGATTAAACATAAGGTATAACGTCTGACAGCATTCGAGTGTGTTAGTCATTCATACTAATTCACGCATGAATTCGTGGACGACACGATACGACACGATTCTCCTGATTGAAACGAGAATGTAAACAAATAGAACGGAGTACTACTCGCTTGAACCGGTCGAACCATCCTATATTAGTATTTGATAGAGACAGTCAATTTTGGACTTTTTGCACAGATAAAAGAAATTTGAAATTCTTATAGTACTTAATTAGGTATTTGAGATTTATACAAATTTTCAGTTTCCTGAGAACAAACATAAGTTAGAAACATTATTCATGATTTTAAGCCAGTTATAATTAAGCGGAATATAGAGTAAATGTTGTTTGTAAATTGTTTAATATTTATCATGTAGTAATCGTTGCTTTATAAATATTTACTTTATGATACGTAATATGTATAATAAAATAAACTGGTAATTTGAAAGAATTGACTAATTGAAAAAATTAACATAATTTCTTTTATCAATCTTTCAGGTTAACTCGTCGCAGGAAAATTTATCGAATCGACGCTCGATAGTTGGAGCACCGAGTTCTGAATATTCTGATGTATCCTCTAAGAAGGACCTAACGGAAACGATCTACAGTGACAGCAATAATAATGTAAAATGCGACAAATTGGTAAATAAGCTTTACTTAAATTGGGTTTATTCATTTGTAAATATATAGAATTTTGATTCCATTGTTTTTGAACGTTTAGTATGTTCATTAATATATATGTTCATAATAAATATGTTCTATAAACATTTATAATGGTTGAAAAAGAATGAGGCTAAAATTAAATTTACAGATCACCTTGACAGTTCAGCATTTATACACCTTATATTTTCACCAGTTTTATTGAAATTCTTTCTTTCATTAATTTATATTTGTAATAACATATAATACAATAATACCATATTATCGTCATACGACATAAAACATTTAAAATCATTTCTGATAGATAGGCTTTACATCATATATTTTTAAAATAAAGGTGTTCCTTCGTTTATATATAAATGACAAGTACACTTATCTTTTATCAAAATGTTCTTATATAAAAAATTAGTTCAATTACTTTAATTTGTTAAAGATTCACTATTAAATATTCTTCAATTCATAGGAATGAAACAGTTTTACTATTTTAATATATTTTGTTATTAAAATTTGACAATAGAATAAACATTTTTAAATAACTGCATCGATTCTTATTCATATTTGCTGTTAATATATCTGATAACCAGTGTAAGACGGAAGATACTAATTGGTGTCTCCCATGAACCATGTTTTGAGAAATGAAGGACGTGGATGCCGACCTCTCGTCAACAAACTGTTAACTCCACTTAAACATTTCAGGTGTTATCTCCAATAGAATCGAGATGCTGCCCTTTAGCTGGCCCTTCGACCGTTGTACGTTCGCCGAGGTGCGAAGGGGAATCAAAATCCTCCGTCCAGGACGATGACATCCCAGCCGAAGCTGTTAATCTGTGCAAGAAGGACCATCAAGACGAAGACGTGTCGAATCCCAGTGGAGAAGCCGATGGGAAGCTAAAGGACACTTTCCTTTATAAAATCATGACGGACCCGACGTTCCTGGAGAACATACAGAAACACAAGCAGCCTAGAAAGTACTCGTGCCAGTTTTGCAAGCTGGAGTTCGTGAACGGTGATGAGCTGGCTGATCACATGGACGTGAAGAAGGACGAGTCGAATCAGGTAGTCTGCTGCGCCTGCAAGAAAACGTTCGCACAGAAACGTTACCTCAGGTATCATCAAAGATGTCACTCGGAAAGGACCAAGTTCACCTGCGATATCTGCACTAAAAAGTATACTAGGTTGGATAATTTGACTAGGCACAACGCATTTCACGTGAACCCCGATAAGTTCTCGTGCACTTACTGCGAGAAAACCTTTGCGAGAAAGGATCTACTGAACAAGCACTTAAAGTGCCATGATAATAAGTATCGATTTTTCTGCGAGTTGTGTCAGAAGTATTTCAAAGGCCCTCTCACGTTGGACAATCATAAAAAGATGTTTCATTCAGTTTAATAATAAGTCTTTGATAATTAATTCCTATCCTGCCTCGAAAATCTAAAACTATTTGATCGAGAAGGGAAGGATATATACAAACTATATAGTAGGGTAAAAGATAAATTAATGTATTTATTGAGCATTTAAGAACCAGAATTATTTACGTCCAAAAATCCTATTTCAAGTGACGAGGATTTAATGTTGGATTAATTATATTAGGGATACGGGATACTTTTGAAACTTTGTCGGAAAGTAGATCTCTGTACAAAACATTTAATTCTACTGTAATTAACAGCTCAGTTGAAGAACTTTTAAAGTGAATTCATTTTTTAAAATAGGATCTTACACCATTTGTTACTTTGAGAATTCAGCTGTAGCTATAACTTAATAATTAAACAGGTCTAAAACTTTTTAAAGTCTCAATATTAATATTATATAAGACTTCCTATGTTTGTTCAATGTTATTTTCGGGTTTGCAATATATTCTAGAACAAGTTTTTAATTATAATTAAAAAAGATATAGAATAATTTCACCTAAGTAAAAGAAAATTCATTGCAAATATAAAACTTGTATGTCATTAAATAGATATACTATATACCTATTAGTTCAAAGTTAGATGGAGGAGAGAATAAATTATACCGCCCACTTGTATCATTATATTAATTAAGATTAATATAAATTGCCCAAAAATAATATTTATGAAATCTGAAACTATTCAAACTATACCATAAATTGAATACTAATACTAGGTTTTGATTGAACAATAGAATAAACTGCACAGCAAATGCCCGTAAACCTAGTTAATCAGTTTCTTATTCATATGAAAAAGAATCAACTCGAAGAATATACTCATCGCAAATTCGCGAGTCAATTAATCACTTAATTTTCTCATAACGGTTACACCTTTTACGAAACGCTAAACAGCGACGATGGTGTGAATAAAAACTTTGCTGTTTCGAAAGCTGTGTACGATAGTCTCACCATAACACCAAAAGTATTGAATAGAATCGCTTGATAATCAACCAAAAAGAAAAAGAAAAAGAAAATCGAGTGTCTATTCAAAAGGAGTTACTCTGTTCACGGCGCACACAGTGCAACGAATACACGTACTTTTAAGAAAAAAATATCCTTTGCCATTATTCCACATTTCTAAGAACATCAAATCAAAGAGGGGTTTCATTGAACCGCTGT